CAGCCACGACGACAAGGGCTCCTGCTCGATACTTCCTCACGATTTACTCCGAGAGCCCCTGGGCAAACAGGCTCCCGAACTCAGGAACGGCGCTCTCGCTCGAGACTCCCGTAATTCAGGCAAGTTGGTGGAGAGGCCCGGACACGGCGGCAAAGGCTCCCGCTCGATATTTCCCCATTGGTATTCCGAAAGCTCCTGGCCAGAGGCCCCCGAACTCAGGAACGGCGCTCTCGCTCCAGACTTCTTCGCACTTCATTCAGTGGCCGACAAGGAAGAGATTCCCCCCGAAAGGGGGTGCAATCGAAATGGAAGTGGGCGGGTATCGAAGGGTTGGCGTATACGGAATGCAAGACACGCGTGCCAGTACGAGCGAAAAGTTGTAGTCGTTGTTGTCGTTGTTCAGCTCTCACAGCTGGAGAATAATCCTTGTTGATCCCCCCTCCTGTGACCATTCTGTTTTTCATTTGAAGTGCTTCCCCCGGGGCTGGCACCCTGTTTGTTTTATCAAGGGAAATCACGGGGCTCAAACTAGCCCCTGGCCACCGGTTTACAACAACAGCGGCTCCCGCCTGATATTTCCTCACAAGTTATTCCCAGATGGCACTCTCGCGTGCGCATTGCGCTCTCGCGTGGGACTTCCTCGCAAATTATTCAGACGATGCGCCCGCGGCACTTAAGAATCACGCTCTCGCTTTGGCTTTTCTAACGATTTACTAAGGAATCGCGCTATCGCTCAAGACCTCCTCGCGATTCATGCAGGACCCACGCTTCAGCAACCCGCCTGCTCAACCTGGTCGCATGGGCCCGCCTTCCCGACCTGCCCACTATGGGTTTGCCCACCCGATCTGCCCGTCTGGTTCTACCATTTGTTTTCTGCTCCTTGCCCCCTCCTGCTAATTTCTCTCGTGCTCCATTATTCTCCCTCCCCCTTCCACCCGTCCTCCCTTCCCTTGTTTTAGGGGCTGCACTAAATGCACGTGGCAGGTAAGGAATCTATATCCCCAAGGGAGTGCGGGAGTACGCTCGAAGACGACAAGGGCGGGTCCCGGGGCTTTGGGATATACGTACTGATTGGCACGTGAGCAAAAAGGAATGAACAACTTTAAACTGGTTGTTGTTGTTGATGCTGTTGTATGGCGTCGTCCTCCCAACGACCCAACCCGCGACCCACCCGCCACCCGCGACCCACCCCGCGACCCACCCGCGACCCACCCGCGACCCACCCCGCGACCCACCCGCAACCGACCCGCGACCCACCCGCGATCCGGCCTGCGACCCGGCCTGCGACCCGGCTTGCGGCCCGGCCTGCGACCCACCCGCGACCCACCTGCGACCCACCCCGCGACCCACTTTGACGAACAATCGGCGCCTGCGGCGGGCTCGTCGTATAATCTGTAAAAATTAGGCGCCTGCGGCGGGCTTCTTCAGCGCCTCGTAGACTGCCGACGTCCCCGCCGCCCCCTCACTCTTATCCGCGACTGAGGGGTGCTTCGTACAATCCAACAAACGTCAAAATAATTCTTGTGAGGGGTCCCAAAACAATGAAGCAATACGCATTTGCAATCGTATTCAGTCTGGGGGTCGTCGGCCTGGGAATATCCAAACCCCAACGACCCTGGGAGTTCTGCGCTTGTCGTCTTCGGAGCACCCTTTGGCATTCTGTCGGGCGCGCTCAGCTAAACTCTCTCTGGCGCACCACGCTCGTCAACTCGAGGTGAATCGAGCCAACTCGTAGTCGAAGTCGTAGTCGAAATTGGGTCGACACGTAGCCCCTTCCCTTTAATTCCTTCCCCACCCCAGGGGGGCGGGTCTGTTCAGGGGGGATGGGGTCCCGGGGGAGGGGACCCGGGGGGGGGGGCTGGGGAACGTCCCAGGTCAGCATACGGCCCCCCCCTCCCTTTTCGGGCCGCCTGCGATCGAATTTCGCCCCCCTTCGGCAGATCAGGTTCAAGAGGCCCCAAGAGGAGCCCGAGATGGCCCAATAGTCGCCGAAACACTGCTCCAGGACGCCCAGGATGGCCTGCAGACGGCCCGAGGCGCTTCCAAGAAGAAACCTCCAACTCGCCATCGCTCGGACGTCCATTTCCCCTGCATTTGTCGGTTTCGTGCGTGTTTTTTTTTTTTGCTCGATGGTCCAGGATCGTCCTCAATGGTTCTCGCCGAGAAAAAATGCACACATCCGAGCGATGCCAGGCCAAGGGCTCTCCCAAGAGGCAACATGTATTGCATGTCCGTTGGTACTTGCCAGATTGAAGCGTTTCTGCCTTTTCGGCTTCCTGACACGGGATGGGCCGCAGGAAAGCCCAAAAAGCCCAAGAAACCGCCCAAAGACGGCCTGCGAGGCCGTCAAGATGGCGCCCAGACGGCCCTGACGGTCCCCAAAGACGGCCTAGAAGGCCTCCAAGACGGCCCAAAACGCCTCAAGAACGCTCCAAGAGGAACCCCAAACGGCGAACAAGAACCGACCTGTCAAGCTCACCGCCCTAAAAGGCTTCCAGGAGGCCCCAATAGGCTCCCAAGACGGCCCAAGAGGCCTCCAAGACGGCCCGAGAGGCCCCAAGAACGCCCCACGAGGAACCCCGAACGGCGAACGGGAACGGACATGTCAAGTTCACCGCCCCAAGAGGCTTCCAGGAGGCCCCAAGAGGCTCCCAAAGGCCCCCCAGAGGCCCCAAGGCGCCCACAAGAGGCCCCCAGGAAGCCCCAAGGCGCCCCCAAGAGGCTCCCAAGGAGAACACAAGCGGCTCACAAACTGACTGCAGAGGCCCCCGACAGCCCTCCATTGAGATCCCAAGAAAGATCCATGACGATTCTGACCTACAACCTAGACGCGATAGCGGGATGGGCCGCATGCCACTCGATAGTCCAAGAGGGACCTGAAATCGCCCAAGCGCGAGCGCCCCAAGAAAGCCCCGAGAGGGCCCACAGAATTCCAAGCAACCTATCAACAGTGCCATACCAAGAACCGTTGGTATGACACTGTTGCGGGCTGTTTCGGGAGACCTCATGGGACCCCCTTAGGCCTGCTCGAACCTCTTAATGTCCTCTGGGGCCCCTCCGCAAGAATTGTGGGACTCCCCGAACACCCGGAACGAACCTCCAAGAATCGTCCAAGATTGCCTGGAGAGAGCTCCAAGAAGGCTCCCCAGAGGTCCCCAATCGTATCATACCAATGGGCCATGGGGGCGGAGTGGGCCGTGGGCCGCGTAATCCGAGAGGCGCCTGAAATCGCCCGAGCGCCGAAAGAGATCCCCGGGAGGGCTCCCACAGAGACGACCAGGCTCAACTTCCAGATATGGTCAGGGATGGCGCTGCATTGCCGCCAGGATGATCAAAGATACCCTCAACGACGGCGAAGACGGCCCCGTCAGACCCGATGATTATGGCCCCAAGACTCCTCCAAGGCGGTCCCTGATGGAGGCACGAGGCCGCCATGAAGCCTGATGAGGCTCCCAGAGACCCGACAAAGGCTCCCAAAAGGTCTCCTCCTCCTCCTCCTCCTCCACCACCTCCTCCTTGTCCTCCTTGTCCTCCTCCTCCTCCTCCTCCTCCTCCTCCTCCTGCTCCTCCCACTCCTCCTCCTCCTCCTCCTCCTCCTCCTCCATCTCCTGATCCCTCCCTCTTCTGCGAAAACACATCGGCAGATAGCGTGGCCAAGCTGTGCTCCGCGTCATACGCTTCTGGGAAACATCATAGGGCGTCGGGGGAACTCTTCGGGGCGTCTGGTCCCACCCTTCCCGAACAACTCTGGCTGTCACCTTCATCATGCGGGTCTTCTTCCAGGGACGGCGGCATCGGCCACAAGGCCTCCACAAAACTTAGGAAACCGTTGGAACAATTACATTCGTCAAATAACCAATTCATCCTTGTAAGGTCCCAGCAAACCAGCAAAACAATCGTTTCATACGTTGGTCGGCTCACTAATGTTGAACATATGTGTTCTGTTATCGTTTTCGTATTTTGTTGAACCCTCTCACGGGTTTTGCTACTTATTGATGGAACGTTACGGTTGTAGAGAACATATTTGATGGAAGCCTCACAACGATTATCTGGATCTGTTTGATGTACTGTGACATGGTTTTGAGTCTCTGGCTGGTGAGCTTGGAGGATGTGGTTGCGAGGAGGGGGGCGGATGGAGAGAGAGAGAGAGAGAAGAAGAAGAAGAACAGGAGGAAGAGGAGGATGCGAATGAGGGGGTCGATTTGATAGGAAAAGCTGATGCAGAAGGACTGGGATGGAGAGGAAACAAGCTTGCTGTTCTTCCTCCTCCTCTTCCTCCTCCTCCGCCTCTGGAGCTTCTCAGGACTGCCAAGCCCCTGTGAAGCAACTGTTTTTCAAGTTTGTGCGTCCGGTTGTGAAATGGAATGCTTGAATTGACTATGCGGATTGGACATGCGAAAGAAGGGAAAAGAGGATGCGGCAAAGGGGCCGATTTGTTTGGGGGTGGGCACATGCGCAGTGTTCCGAAAATGCAATCAACGCTCTGGCACAACGACTGAATTCACTCAGAGATCAGGGTAATTACCGCGAGGAGCAGCATGACCTGGTCGACCCTGCCCCGCAGACATCGCTGCAACAGAGGAACAAGGCGCAGGGTCCAGGCTGCCGCTGAAGGCGGACGTGGAATGCTGAGGCCGATCAGCTACCCTGGCTATTGAAATATGCTTTGCACGGGCTAACAAAAGTTCGCCGCCGCGGGTGCAGCACGACCTGGTTGACCCTGCCCCGCAGACATTGCTGCCGAGAAGAAATAAGGCGAAGGGCCCATGCTGCCACAGAAGAATTGCTTGAAAGGCTCAGCCGTTCAGCTATCCTGGCACATGAGCTGTACTCTGCACGATCTAGATATCCACTGAAAAAAGTTACGCCGCACGGTCCTACCAAGTTCGCCGCCGCGTGTGACCCCGACCCATTTCTTATGAAATCTTTGGTAGTTGAAAGACGGCAAGACTGCGACCCTGAGGCTCCTCAACCCGGCTGCGTACTCAGAAACCCTGAGCCTCAGGTGTAATCACGGGCGCACCGCTGGTGGGCTTCTGATCCTTAGGCGAGCCCTGCTCCTTCGCGGGCATGTTGAACATCGGCGAGCTACCCAGCCGGCCGAAGGCGAAAGAATAACCACCGCCCACGAAGATGGAACCTGCGAAGATGTTGCCGAGGGTAACCGGGATGAAATTCCTCCACAAGCAGTCCAGCATCGACACGTCTGCGCCAGCCATCATCCCCATGGGGATCATGAACATGTTGGCTGGGATATGCTCAAAGCCGATGGCCACGAAGCAAGAGATGGGGAACCAGATGCCCACCATCTTGCCAACCATGTCCTGCGCCTGGCCCTGCAGGAACACCGCCATGCACACCAGCCAGTTGCACCCGATTCCCTTAAGGAAGGTGACCAAGAAATTCTCCTTGATCTTCTTCTCCGCAACCTTGCGGGCAAGCGATGCAGTCAGGCCAACGTTCAGGTTGCAGGCTGTGACGAAGCCAACGAAGAGCAGGGCGCCAAGCAGATTGCCCACCCAAGCCGGCGCGAACGTCCTCAGGATCTGCATCCTGTGCAGCTTGCCCTCAAACACCGCGGCAGGCACGGTCGCCGCGGTGCCTGTGATCAGCACCCCCCTGTGAGGAGGATGAGCAGCAGGTTCACAGGGAAGAGCGCAGCGAACACAAAGGTCTGAATGGTCGGGTTGTCCTGGGCAGCGCTGTCCAGCCCGCCAGCCACCACCATCGACAGCATGCCACCGAAACCAATGTAGCAGCCCGCGTAGAACGACTGGTGGAAGATCTTGATGGACGAATCGCCGCCCATCCCAACGCCCTTGTCCACCATGCCCATAAAAGCCTCCTTCGGGGTCTTAACGATTGACACGAGATCCGGCATGATAGCGGATCCTGCTGTGGACAAGGTACGCCTCCGGCAGTGCAGAAATTCGGGGCGAGAGATATGCAAGCACAAGGGAGCCGAAATGGCTTGAGCAGAGATCGGACATGCACACAGACAACTGTGAATGGGCTGGAGATGGAGCAGTTGCCGAAATGCGCTTGCCTACCATTGAGAAACACATGGGATGTCCAAAAACTCCGCAAGAGGCTGGCACCAACGAACTTCTTGTGTTGAGCAGGGACCGAGCGTCCCGGCATTCCTATAGTCCTACCACGAAATGTTCTTAGAACCCAAGAACGTTCTAAGAACAAAAACAATGTTCTTAGAACATAGACCCGATGTGATAAAACAAGACAGTCTCCGCCAGGAATGTTCTAAGAATATTTCGTGGAAACCACAGAAAAGGTTCTTAGAACATTGTTTGGTAGGGCTATAGGCAAGCCAGGACGCTTCGCCACTGCTTGATTCTTGTGGAACCCCTCTCGATCAACAAATCGGTGTAGCCCGGCATGGCGCCCCCGGGTCTGAGGACGCCTGCCGCGCCCTCACCGCCGGGGTGAAGACCGGCGCTGCCACCCCGGTCCCCAGGCGGTCGTTGGGGGGAATACACGGCAATTGTTAATACATCGGATGTTTTAAACATATGAACTCATCGTTGTTTTTAATACTAATTCCCTGCATTTTTAATACATGATCCGCACGCGGAGCATGGATTATAAACGGCACTGTAACGGAACAACCTGACAACGACGGTGTCGGAGTGCTGGAGAGGTGAGGGCGGTGGAGTGTGGTGGGGTGGGAGGGGTGGGACAGGTGGGAGGGGTGCGAGGGGTGGAGGGGTGGGAGTTATCTTTGATCTGATGTCTGGTAACCATGTATGATCAAATATTGTGTTGTATGTTGTGCTACGAGGTGATGTTTGACATGAAGTGGTGCTTGACATAAGGTAATGTTGGATATGCTTTGGTGTTTTGTATGATCTGGTGGTATATATATATGGTAGGTGAACTTATTATTATAACTACAACGATGTGAATGTACGGTAGTTGGAAACGCAAGCGGTAGTAGGTGACTGATATGGTCTGTACTGATGTGACTGTATGTTTCATGTTGTATGATCTGTGTGGTGTGATATGATGCTTGAAGGTGCAACTGCAAAATTGTGATGGTGTTAGATGCGAAACAATTGCTAACATGCGCTTGCTCACCCTTGAAGATTCAACCGTACACTTCCATGATTCTGCCGGGAGCTGACATCCGCGCATTACGGATTTAATTCCTATTTGCGAGTGGATTTAGTATCGAAGAATTCTGCGGGGGTTCTGACATAATCCATGGACTATAAACTAATTCAGCGGGAGGCTGGGGTTGGCGCTACTGGCAGAGGACGCGCTTGCAATAGAGCATCGGTGCTGTCGGCGTTGCTGCCGGTGGATGCCATATTGTCATATTAGTCCTGTGAGTGCTGTACTCACCGCCGTTGAAGCTCGCGCACTATAGGGCCACTAAACGTGCACAAGTGGCTAGAAGCATCTGGCGTGGTAATCTTTCCCGAACGGTGTGCATCTTGCCAAGGTCAACGCACCAGGGCCGCAAACGTGGCCCCGCCAAATGCCGTCCTGGCCCCTGCAGCCACCGACGCACAAGGTATCCACTAAAGGCATGAGGGCGAGGATGACGAGGACGCGGCCCGCCAGGGGGGCGGCGGCCGCGGCCTTGGCGCGCTGCGCCTCCTCCAGCTGGGCGCGGGCAGCCTGGAGCTGCGACTGCTGGACGGCGCCGTCGGCCGCCAGAGCGGCCCTGGCCTCCTGGGGAGGGAGACGGTCCTCCTCCTCCTCCTCCTCCTCCTCCTCCTCCTCCTCCTCCTCCTCCCCTGCTCAGGCCGGAGGGGGAGGGACGGACACAGGAGGAGCAGGAACTAGGGGATAGGAGGTGGGCGCGGGAAAGAGGGGAGGGGAGGGGAGGGGGTTCGGGAGGGTGGGGAGGTGGACGGACAACCGACACGTGGCAACTAGCACGCCTCTCTCACCCCTCTTCCAACACCCGCTCCCCTTTGCCTCCTCAGCCCTCCTTCCTTCGCTCCTTCTTTTCTCACTGTAGGCACCTCCTTGCTCCCCTACCTCTCAGTCCTTTCAGTCCCTGGCTCCACGGGGAGGACGGGGCGCCGACTGCTCCACCTACAACGAGGCCGTGGCAACGACTTATTGTCCCTCCTCCTCCTCCTCCTCCTCCTCCACCACCTCTACCTGTTCCTCCTCCTCCTCCTCCTCCCCCTCCTCCTCCTCCATTTCCACGCTTTTCCATTCGTCTCTCCCTCCCCCTAGCCGCTCCCTCCCCTCAGTCGGTCCCGCTCTCTTTCACGGGCGCCCCGTCCTGCTCGGCGACCAGGGCCGACCTGGTCCCCTGCATCTCTTCCAGCTGCGCGCGCGCGACATCGAGGTGCGACCTCAGTCGTCCGACTTGGGGGGGGGGCAGCGTTGCCTCCTCGCTCGTCCTCGCTCCTCGGTCCTCCTCGCTCTTCGCCCCTCCTTCCTCGTTCCTCGTTCCTCGCTCATCGCTCCTCCTCCTCCTCCTCCTCCTCCTCCTCCTCTCTCCTCCTCCTCCTCCTCCTCCTCCTCCTCCTCCTCCTCCTCCTCCTCCTCCTGTGTGTCCCACCAGCCATGTGGGCTAAGGTGGTCTGGCACAATGTGCCTTCCTGTTCAAAAAAAACTCGGCTCGCTTCGGGGAGGTCGCCTCCCCCCCGCCCTCCCTGGGTCTTGCCAGGATGCCTTTCGGGAGGCTGAGAGGGCACTAGCGCCACCCAGTGGGTGCACTCATGCCTGCGCAGACGGCAGGTGGCTTTTTGATGGAAAATTAGCCAGGCGAAGGACCCAACCATATACAGTTGTGAATACCGCAATTGTGAATACCATCTTCCCTCGCGCTACCTATGTGGCTGCGGCTTCCCGCCGGAGCCCGACATGCTCAGGGACGCGTTCGTGGCCGACTTCGCGGGCGCCGCCGACGACGAGGACGGCGTCCCCCTGACCGAGGAGCAGAAGCAGGAGAGGCCTCTGAGAGCCATGAGGAAGGAGGTGGCGTTGCACGTCGACAAGGCGGAGTACGACGCCCAGGCGCGGTTATTCAAGCAGCACAACTATGGGGCCACGATCCGCGCCATGGATGTGCGAAATGGCCCGAAGCCGCCATGCGAACCCTGCCACTGGGGCCCTTCGGTGGAGCCCCTATGGGGCCACGGTCCTCGTGAGGGGTGTGCCGAAATGGCCCGGGGTCGCCATGCGAACCCTGCCGCTGGGGCCTTCGGTGGAGCTCCCTACGGGGCCACGGTCCTCGTGAGGGGGTGTGCCGAAATGGCCCGAGGCCGCCATGCGAACCCTGCCACTGGGGCAGTCGGCAGAGTTCCCTCTGGGGCCACGGTCCTCGTGAGGGGTGTGCCGAAATGGCCCGATGCCGCCATGCGAACCCTGCCACTGGGGCCTTCGGTGGAGCTCCTATGGGGCCACGGTCCTTGTGATGGTTGTGCCGAAATGGCCCGAGGCCGCCATGCGAACCCTGCCACTGGCGCCTTCGGTGGAGCTCCTATGGGGCCACGGTCCTCGTGAGGGGGTGTGCCGAAACGGCCCGAGGCCGCCATGCGAACCCTGCCACTGGGGCATTCGGCAGAGTTCCCTCTGGGGCCACGGTCCTCGTGAGTGGGTGTGCCGAAATGGCCCGAGGCCGCCATGCGAACCCTGCCACTGGGGCCTTCGATGGAGCTCCTATGGGGCCACGGTCCTTGTGATGGGTGTGCCGAAATGGCCCGAGGCCGCCATGCGAACCCTGCCACTGGCGCCTTCGGTGGAGCTCCTATGGGGCCACGGTCCTCGTGAGGGGGTGTGCCGAAATGGCCCGAGGCCGCCATGCGAACCCTGCCACTGGGGCATGCGGTGGAGTTCCTACGGGGTCACAAAGCGCTGTGCTGGGTGTGCCGAACCAGAGACATGCGGCGGGTACAGGAGGCGGAGGAGGAGGAACGAGAGGAGAGGAACGCGGGGCGGTGTCTCTTCAAAACGAGGACCCACCACCGCTTGATGGTTGGGAAAAAAGGTTAGGGCGTCCAAGATGGCCCAAGATGGCTCGAAGAGGGCCCCCGATGCTTCAAGATGGCATCCTAAGCGGCTCAATGTTGCCGAAGACGGTTCACTCTAGATTCTGGCATACCTCCAAGAGGCCCGACGAGGGCCGCAAGACGGTTCCAAGTGCTTTGGGAACTCCCTGGGGACCTCCCACGAAGCCCAAATCACCCAACCACCTAAGGAGGCCTCAAGAGCGCCCAATATCGCTCCAAGAGCGTCCCAAGAGCGCCCGAGATGCGATGGTGTTGGCCCCAGGGGGGGGGAGGGGGGGGCAAGTTTGCGTCCCATCCCCTCTTTTGGTTGATGGCCTCCAAGGTGGCCCCAAAGTGTCCTCCAGGGCCGCCAGGGAACCCCAAGAGGGCTCCAAGATGGCGCCAAGATGGCCCACAAACGCTCAAAAAGGCAACCAAATGGCCCCAAGATCCCCCAAAAGAGCCCCGAGAGGGCTCTACGGTGCGATTTGAGGGCCCTGGCCTCGCCCTCGCTGTCCTTTTCTTCATCCTTCCTCCTCCTTCCTCCTCCTCCTTCCCCCTTCTCCTCCTCCTCCTCCTCCTCCTCCTCCTATTCCTCGTCCTCGTCCTTTCCCTCGTCGTATTTCTTTTCGTGTTCCTCCCCTTCCTCGTTGTTGTCGTTGCCGTCGTCGTGGTTGTCGTCGTTGTCGTCGTCGTCATTGTCGTCGTCGTTCTTCTCCTCCTCTTCCTCCTCCTTCCCTCGCTCCCCTTTGGGCTCCAGGGATGACCCGAAGAGGCCCTCCAAGGCCAAAACCCTTGCTCCCCAAATTCTCTCTGTTCACTCTGGTTGCCCATTATGTTTCACTCTTGGGCGACATGTCTGAATGGACTAATGGGGATACGCGAAGCGTGAATAATTACACTCCGTGCGACAGACTCGAGCTACGCCAATGCGAATGGACCTCGTACGTGAGCCCTCGTGGGAACAGGTCGTAATACATTATGTTCCCCACACTTCCCTGTACTGCACATCACTCGGCTCCTTGAGGAAACATTATGGGCATGGATCTAGGTGTTGTGTCCGATCTCGACTGCAAGGACAAATACACTGATTCACTTTGGTTGCGAAACTGCGGCTTCAAGACACGGCACATCAATCACTCAACACTCAATGCACATGAAATAGGGCAATATCGAACATACCCACACCTCGACCACCAACGCAACGCCGCAAGGTTTCTGCCCGCGACACAAGCAAAATTCTACGCGGCACGCCTGCGGGTGAGCAAGTCCAAGTCAGCGAATGACTGAGCACGATGCAACGTCTCTGGGGGAATTGGAGAGACGTCACCGATACTTCCACCACCGGAGACACCTCCAACGACAAAGACAAGCAACTCGTATTGGACCAATCGGTGAATGGATACAACTTCGACGCCAGCACAGAACTAACCACACCCTTCGAAACAAGACAGCTGCAGCTGGAACGCAACAGGCTAACACAATTGCATCCTTGTCATCAACAAGTCGTCGCTGCTAATATTGCAAAATCTCTTCTCCATTAACGTTTCGTACAAAAGCGCATCCACGGAATCTGTTCCGTGGAGACAACTTCTCTGGATGCCGCTCCCCTGACATCCAAATCCCTGGAACCTGTTTCCCAGAGCCCAATTTACAGAGCTCTTTGCATGGAACATGTTCAACATAACTTCTTCTAGGGAGCCGTTGGCACAGAACGAATTACACGTAAGTGGGCAGGAGAGGAGAGGAATGAGGAGGGGAAGAGCGGGTATGAATCGTCATTGTCGTCGAGGTCTCCCTTAACGTCTGTCGCCGTGGTCGTCGCCCGCCGTCATGTCCTGGCGTACCGCCGTCGTCGTCCGTCGTCCGTCGCCCATCGTCTGTCGTCCGTCGTCGTCGTCATCGTCGTCGTCGTCGGGGGCGGGCTGGGCACATCTCTTCCCGAAGCCCAGAGGTTACAGAGCGCTTGCTTAAGGCGAGTGGTCGCAGAGCGTGTGGGTAGCTCCACCGAGGGTGCCAGTGGCAGGCGCTGGACCCATGATGGAGTGGCAGTGGCAGGATGGCAATGGCAGGCACCCGAGACCTCTGGAAAAACTTAAGAGACCCGCGATGGACCCATGATGGGCCCAGAAGCCCACAGCCTGTTTCCAAGATGGCTCAAAGACGGCCCACCACACTCTTCAAGACATTTCCATGACCCAAGAGAAGCCCAAGAACGACAAAGAAATTCATAAGAGAAAGCCCAACACAGTCCCGCATTCTCAAGACACGAAATGAGATAGGTGGGGTATGATCGCTTTCAACAGCCGAATGGTCCCTCCCCCTACGCCCTTCTCCCTCAAATTGTCCTCCTGCTGCCGCTCCTCTGGAAGAAAAAAAATGGTATACAAATAAACTTTTGGCGCTCCGCGCGGATTCCTTGGATCCGCGCCGGACCCCCCTTCCTGGCGCGCGGAGCGCGCCAGGGGCGGCGCCAGAGGCGCCGCCAGAGGGGCCCATGCGCCGATCCAAGAAATCCGCGCGGAGCCCCGACAATTTATGTTTATGGTATTTGTTTTCTTTTTCGACTCCCGTCGCCTTCCTGCTGCCAATCCTCATCCACCCTTATCCTCCTCACCCTGCACCTCCTCCTCTTCCCCGTCCCCGTCCTTACCCCTCCCCATCCTGCCCTCCTGTCCAGCTTCTACTCTGCCCAACTGGACTGAATGGGCCCAAGGACACACACACACACACAAATACACACAAATCCCAGGATCCCCCATGTGTTCCAATATTTTCTGGGTTTTCGTCTTCCCCCCCTCACCATAGTTTCCCATATTTTCTTAAGGATCGACGATTAATAATGTCTGTGTTTTTCCGTTCCTGTTGGACCTGCTGGGTAAATATTGTCGAACTGGGTATATCAGACCCGTTCTATCGAATCATGTCAGTGGAGCTGGTTCTGGCAAGCCACATCTGTGAAACAAGTCTTCGTTAAAATGGCCCCTCTTGAACTAATTCGATGTTGAAGCTGCCTCCGTTGAACAAGAACCGAACTCTGCTGAACCCGTCCTCTTTTAACCCTGTCCCTTTCGCGGCTCCCATCATCGACCACCATGACACGGGCGAATAGACCCGAAGCAGGACAGCGGGGGCCAGCAGAACAGCCAAGGCTGGGACCCTATGGGCAACCACCGGAACAGAACCATACACGGCAACCTAGGCCAATAACCCTGTGGGAGGGACTCGTGCAGCGATGGGCGGTGCGCGACCGTCTGTGTTGGAACTCCCTGCGACTACGGCACAGCTCCACCAACGATGGCAATCCAGGCCGGGACCGAACGCGCGGGGCCCGCTTGGACCCTACGCAACCACGGTGCAACGATCCCACCACCCAGTACAACCGAGGCGAGACTTGGGGCGGGATCCTCTGGGGGACAGTTCCGGCGGGCGGGCGGGACCCTCGTGGACTCAATGGGTCACCCCCACCACAGGGGAGACCTACGGCGGGACCCCATGGGGCGGACCCTACGCGGGGCGGGGTTATCTGGGGTTGTACCCAATGGGCGGGACCTCCGGCCAGGACACTATCGCGGGACGCTGCGCAACCTCGGCGCAACGCGAGCACTCAAGGCAACTACGGTGAGACCCTTTCAGGGACCCGCAAGCCAGAACTCTACGCGCGGGACCTTTGCAACTACGACGCAGTCCGAGCACTGCAAAACTCTGCCGACCCTTCGGCGTGTGGAAGACGCTGTCGTCGTCGTCGTCGTCGTCGACGTAGTCGTCGTCGTCGTCGACGTAGTCGCAGTCGTCGTCGTCGTGGTCAGTCCCAAGGAACTTGATGAACGAGGGAAGGGAACGTCGCAGTTAAGTCGTAAGAAAGCCCTTCCCTCTATCCCTTCCCTTCCCATGGGGGGGGGGGGCGGGGAGGGTCCCCGGTCAGAATACCGCCCCCCCCCCTGGGTCCCGGGGCGGGTCGCCAGCGAGGGTCACTTCGCAATCATCAACTAATGTTTGACCCTTTGGACAACTACGGTCAAACCAAACCCCACAACCCGATCCAATTCTTGGCGGCACAGGCAGTGACCGAGGAAGCATGATTCGCAATGGTGCTGACAACGGCGGCAATGACGATGGAACTTATGGTCAATGGCCGTGTGCGGACGTGGTGGGGGTGCGGCGTTTCACTCTATCACGCCATCCGACACTCTGAGGGCACACCGACGCCAGCTTCGCCCTCGGTCGATGCAGATTCACCTACCAAAGATCTGCCCACGGCTCGCAGCATGCACCCTGGGGCTGTTCAGAGCTACAGCCAGGCCAATGCTGTGCACGGCCAAGGTTCCATGGCGAGAGCAAGGCGGGATCTCGGGAGCCGCGCGGGCGAAGGACAACCGGGGTGGGCTTCTGCGCCCCGTCCCGCGCAGCTCAAGCCTCCCGGGCCGCCGCTGCAGCCTTCGCAGCCGCCTTGTTGGCGACGTACAGCTCGGCCTTCTCGATTGCACTGGCCATCTTCTCCGCGAGCGCCTTTCGTCCAGCCTCGTCCATCACGGGGGCCTCATACACTGTCTTTGCCAGCACCTTCTTGAAGGCCGGGTCCTTCCTCAACCTCTTCAGTACGGGCTTGCTGCATCCTGAGCCAGAACATGCGCCGCACAGCTTGTAGCCGGTCGCGGAGCACTCTGTGCACGGGACCATGGATCTCCCTTTTCGGATGGCCGTTGACGGGGGGGGGGCAATACAGTCAACCCGTGCAGTAAGGATGCGCGGTAAGGATGCAAGGGCCTCGGAAAACCATGTTAATGTTTTTCGAGTAAGGCTCCAGGATGGGCCTGCGGGGCAAGAGTGCAAGGGTAAGCTTGGAAACTCCTCATCCTTACTATGCGGGTTGACTGTAAGACTGGGGCCCGGGGGACACCAATTTGCGTCAACAGAAATCCCCCCCCCAAACACCCCGAATGTCATATACCTGGCCCAAATTCAGAAATTCGCCAGCCCAGCGAGCCAGAAACATAATTACTGAGATCTCAGGTCACAAATTTCAGACACTTCTGGTTCGCGCGCGCGCAGCCGCCCTTGGGGGTTCCTGGACGAACAACACCCGGGCAAATTCCCCTGAAAGATGCCGCAACTCCCAGGAGCAGTGTTCCCCAGTCCGCCGAAAAAGCGCCCAATACACGTCTTAAGAGGCCTCCGAAAGCCTCCCCAAGAGGCCCCGAGAGGCCAACATCATTTGTTTCATAAGTGTTGCAATGCTTTGGGGCATTCCCACCTTTCGAGCTTCCGATGCTGCAAGGAGTCCCAAGAAGCTCCCAAGAATGCCCCAAGGCGACCCGAGAGGCTCCCAAGAGGGCCCCAAGAGGCGCCCAAGACAGCCCAGAGAAGGACCCCAAAGGGGCCCAAGAGGGGGACACGGGAACTGAACACCCGAGCCTTCCGCCCCAGGGGGCCCCGAGGAGGTCCCGAATAGGCTCCAAGGAGGCCACCAATAGGCCCCCACGAGAGGCCCCCACGAGAGGCCCCCGAAGAGAGCTCCCAAAGAGCCTCACGACTGCCTCTGGGAGGCCCTCGCTAGGGAGGCACGAGCGACGCGCTCTTGGAAACTTCGGCGGGCCCTCTGTGGGCCCTCGCCAGGTGAGCGTTCGATGCGCAGATGGTGCGACGGAGGGTGGTGGAGGAGAATGGGACATGGATCGATTTAATCAGTGCTTTTCGTTGTCGTGTTGTCGTTTGCGCTCTCCAACGTTTTGCCTCCAGTCCGCCGTTGCCGCAGCACGAAACCATCGACGCGAGAACTGCCCACGAAATCGCCAAGGCACTGTTCGGGTGAACCCCTGGAATGAGATGGCATGCGCAGGGCATGCCAAGAGGGGCTTCGCGGATTCCGCTGGTCGATTCTCCTGGGAGGCGTATACGAATGCTTGCGATCGGCGCCCCAGGGCCACGACAGCCTCGCTTCGGCACACCCCTCACTTGCTGCGCCCCCGGGCCTCTGGGACACGCACGGCACAGGGGATGCAGAGACCACCTCTCCTGGGAGCCTCAATTCGCCATACCCCTCACGCCCTTCGTGCATGGAGCTCGGCTGGCTCCAATCGGGCCAGGCGAACGGGGGGGATAGCAAAAGGGGGGGTTTGAGAATCAGCTCACGTAGCTGAGTTTCCCGGCGCCTCCCGGCGCCGGAGGCGGCTATGTGTCGAGGAATGGGCGCCTCGGTGGGGCCGAAACAGCTGCATGCAGCAAATTTCGTACCCCCCCCCTTTCCCAATCCCCCCCTTTCGCCCGGCCCGAAATTCGCCATACCCCTCACGCCCTTCGTGCATGGAGCTCGGCTGGCTCCAAAGACTACCCCCTGCGGCATCAATTTGGCACACCTCTGGCTCATCTGGCGCCCCCAGGAGCTCCAGGGGCGATCCGCTGGCCCTCAAGACGGCCAAAGTTGAAGGGGCCCAAGGACACACAAATAAATACACACAACTACCAGGATTCCCCATATGTTCTAATATTTTCTGGGTTTTTGTTTTCCCCCCTACTTCCCATATTTTCCAATATTTTCTGGGGAATCGACGATTAATTGTGTCTGTGTGTTTTTTCCCCTCCTGAAAAGTGAGCCTCAATTCGGCACTCTCATCATGCACGTCGTGCCTCCTGGACTCCCAGGGGCCCTCAGCTGCCCCCTCAGACGGTTCAGGGAGGACTCGATTCGGCACACCCTCACGCACTTCGCTGCTCGTGGACCTCCAAAGGCCCTCTGTTGGCTCCGAAGACCGCCTGCCCCTCAAAAAGACGCCAAGATGGCCCTAAGACAAATTGCAACGAATGGTGCCGATCCTCGTCGAAACCGTGCCCCGAACACCCACGGATTGCAACATCTGCGTGCGTATTTCCCTCTGGGGGCCCGCCGTGACTCCCGCTCTGCGGGCTCATTACGTGCCTAAAAGCTCCCGTTGACTACAACCCCCGCCTCGAGATCCGTCCGGCCGCACCGTGGTCCGCATATCCTGGCCAAGCCAACGCGCGCACTCAGACACGCTACGGACTCCCAACCCTCGTTTGCTTGGAAGCCCGCTTTGATTCGAGACTGGAACCAAGCAGCTGACAGCACCCGTTGTGGAAGCGAGGACGGGAGAGGGGCAGAGCAGGGGGGAGGACGGAAACGGAGACCTGCTGCCAACTGCACAACTGTCACCAATGTCACTCTCGTGAGCTCCTGCGAGGCCGAGCGGAGCACTGTGCTGCACAAACCCAAACGGGACCTTGCCTCCCCGGGTGCTGCTGCCTGCGCAGATGTCGCCAATCTTGTGAGCTGCTGGGAAGTCCAGCAGAAGTGGGGTGCTACGCAGACTCAGAAGATAACCTTGTTGATTCCCTCCCCGTGACGTCCGTCACGGGCGTGGGGGCGAGGGGGGTAATAACGTTCAAGAGGGCCAGGCGGGGGGATGCGGGCACGGCCGGCTGCATCCATGCAAGCCGCGGCGCGCGCGTACGCAGGAGCGCAAACCCACACGCGTGCGCAGCACAAGCACACCAGAGGCTTGCGCGCACCACTCGGCGGCGAGCGAGGTGGGAGAAAAGAGAAGGAGAAGACCTTCTCAGAAGGTTCGGAATTCCCCTGGCCTTCAGAGAAGTTGTCTGAGCCTTCTCCGAAGACCAAACAACAACTTATCAGAAGGCGTGCGGGCTTCTGGAAAGTCCTGCCGCCTTCTGAGGAGGTCTTCTCCTTCTCACTTCCCCCCCCTCGCTCGCCGCCGAACCAGCCATCCGCGAGCTCTCACTACGGACGCCCACACACGCGATAGATGACCCTATCATGCGTGCGTTGCGAGCAAACGACGGGTGAAACCGCAGGGCCGCATGCACCGCAGTGCGCCCGTGAAGGCCACAACGGCCTGCGAACACCACAGCATGCCTGAGAGCAACACACAGTGCCTGTAAACAGATAGCGGCGGGCGGACCTGTCCCCTGCCAGCACCACAATCGCCTGCGAACACCAAAACGCGCATGGCGATACGCAGGACACATGCCAGGGTAGCCAGCAAACGACGCAATGTGCATGCGAGGGTCGCGATGAACTTGCAAACACCAACTGCGACACGCGTATGCACACCAATATGCGGGACCTTGGCGGTGCCGTGACTCTCGGCGACCACCAGAGTGTATGCGAACACCAAAACTACCCTGCGCGCGACACAAAGTATCTGCCAAGACCGCACTGCGTCTGCAAACAACACCGGTCGCTAAACTGCACCCGGTTGTGCGGGTACCGCAATGGATTGCACCACGACCATACCTGCGATCACCGCGGGGTGTGGGAAAGCTACAACGTGATTAACAACCCCAAGCTGCACCAGCGAACACCAACATCACCTACATGTACAATAATATGCCAGACCGGGCAACATTAGTGAGCTAGCGCCATCGCCCGACATGTACCTGAGCGCAGCAGCAACAACACACGTATGTACAACAGACCTCACCATTATGCGATAGTGTGTGGACCGATATCATGCCGTTGCACACCGCGGTCGCCCGCGAGCGCCACAACGTGTCTACACCACGGTGCGCAGGCGAAAAACAACAGAACATGGGCAACGGGTTTCGGACCCTGCTAGCAAAACCCAGGCCCCTGAAACCGCCACGGTATGCCCGTGCGCACAATGACTGCGAGCACTGCGACGTGCCAATGAGCGCCACGTACTTGTGCTTATCACGGGCCACTGGCCTGCCTAAACCAACCTGTGATGACTTTTTGTTTCTACCGCTCCTCCTGGTGTTTCACCTTTGTGCCCCCTTCTGGGCACACGAACGGCATGCGAACACCACGGCGCGCCTGTGAATGTCACTGTGCGCGTGCGAGCGCTGGACGGCGAGGGAAACTAGACCGCACCCAAACCACAACAGCGTTCGACCACCGCATGTATGAGCAAAGGGATGCCGTGCCCAACGATTGACGCACACGACTTCGCCGCTCCGAAATTTCCTTGCATTCTATGAATTGGGCCCGGTGGCAGTGTGTGTTCGCATACGTCGCACCCATTTTGGCAACGGCCCCGACGGGGTTGAGGGGCAGGATGCGTTGAACCCCCCTCCCCGTAGAAGCCTAGCAAGATAGCCCTCTTGCGTGGTCTCGGCGGGATCCTTGGCGCGTAGCTCCCCCATGAATATATATTTTCTAACCCAGCCAACCATACATGCCACCCGTAGAAAAAAAAGGTCCGGATGAATCCCGCGGCGGGACCAAATCCCGCCAATGTATGGCGTATTCGGGTCGTCTTGAAGTCATCTTCAAATCATATCCAGGCTATCTTAAGATCATGGTGTTGAACTCTGGGAATGCCCCGGCCACCTTTGGGTCGCGCTGGGGCCACCGCCTTGTCTCCAGGGCAACGCTCACATCTTGGGCCATCTTAGCTTTCGCCCCCAGGCCACTTCGACGTTGCGTCTGGATCCTGCAGGGGCCACGGGGTCTTCTTGGTGTCGCCCCGAGGTCATCTTCGTGCCCGTCCGAGGCCGTCGTGCAACCATTTTGGGGCCATGGGGCAGCCCACTCATCCTGCCTGGGTCGTCTGCAGGTCTTCCGTGTTTCCAAGGAACTTCCATGACGCCGAAGCCTGATGGCGCTTGCCGCGCTCCGTATAATTTCGGCTCAAGGTTGATTTCCGAGATGCAACTGAACTGTCCCTGCTGTCGCTTTGCTGTCGCCTTGCTGTCGCCCTGCGAGTGAAAAACTATGCAGCCTGATCGCGCCTGCCGCACCCAGTATCATGTCGGCTCAAGGTTGACCTCCGAAGTGCAACTGAACTGTCCCTGCTGTCGCTTTGATGTTGCTTCGGTGTCGCCTTGCAACTGAAAAGCTACGCAGCCTCGTCGCGCCTGCCGCACTCCGTAACATGTCGGCTCATGGTTGACCTCTGAGATGCAGCTGAACTGTCCCTACTGTCGCTTTGCTGTCGCCTTGCTGGCGCCTGGCGACTGAAAAACTACGCAGCCTGATCGCGCCTGCCGCACCCCGTTATAATTTCGGCTCAAAATTGATTTCTGAAATGGAACTGAACTGTCGCTTTGCTGTCGCCTTGCTGTCGCCTTGCGAGTGAAACAAACTACGCAGCTTGATCGCGCCTGCCGCGCCCCGTATCATGTCGGCTCAAAGTTGACCTCTGAGATGCAACTGACCTGACCCTGCTGTCGCTTTGCTGTCGCCCTGCGAATGAAAAACTATGTAGCCGGATCGCGCCTGTTCGGCTCGACATTGCCACTGAGATGCAACTGGACTGTCACTGCTGTCGCTTTGCCGGCGCCTTGCTTTCGCCTTGCGCGGGGAGAAACTACGCAGCCTGATCGCGCCTGCCGCACTCCGTAGCATTCTGGCTCAAGGTTGACCTCTGCGGTGCAACTGAATTGTCCCTGCTGTCGCTTTGCTGTCGCCTTGCTGTCGCTTTGCGATTGAAAAAACTACGCATCGCCGCTCCGAGAGTTCCTTGAATTTTCTGAGTTGGGCGCGATGGCAATGCGTGCTCGCTTGCGTTGCACCCCTCTTGGCAACGACCCCGACGGGTCTTGAGGGGCAGGATGCGTTGAAGCCCCTCCCCCCCCGAAGACTAGCAAGACGGCCGTCTTGCGCATTCTCGGCGGGATCCTTGGCGAGTAATTTGAAAGTGAATACTTTTAATCCAGCCAACCACAGATCCCGACCATTGTTTTCGAACAAAGGTCCGGATGAATCCCGCGGTGGGGCCCAACCCTGCCAATGTATGACGTGTTCGGGTCATCTTGAGGTCATCTTGAAATCATCTCCAGCCTGTCTTTAAACCGTGGTGTTGTACTTTGGGAATGCCCCGGCCACCTTGGGCCATATTGGGCCATCTTGGCTTTGCCACCCGACAATTTCGACGCTGCGTCTGGATCCTGCAGGGGCCGCGGGGTCTTCTTGGGGCCGCCCAGAGGTAATCTTCGCGTCCGTCTGAGGCCGTCGTGGAACCATCTTGGGGCCATGGGGCCGCCCACTCATGCTGTCTGGGTCGTCTGGAGGTCTTCTTTGTTCCCACGGAAACTGCCGTTGCGCCAAAGTCTGATCGCGCCTGCCGCGCCCCAATCATGCCGGCTCAAGGTTGACCTCTGAGAAGCAACTGAACTGTCCCTGCTATTGCTGTGCTGTCGCCTCGCTGTCGCCTTGCGAATGAGAAACTACGAGGCCTGATCGCGCCTGCCGCACCCCGTATCAGATCGGCTCAACATTGACCTCCGAGGTGCAACTGAAGTGTCCCTGCTGTCGCATTTCTGTCGCTTTGCTGTCGCTCTGCTGTGCATTGCAGTCGCCGTGCTGTCGCCTTGCGAATGAACAACTACGCAGCCCGATCGCGCCTGCGGCGCTCCGAATCATGTCGGCTCGAGGTTGACCTCTGAGATGCAACTGGACTGTCCCTGCTGTCGCATTGCTATCGCCTTGCGAGTGAAAGAACTACGCAGCCTGATCGCGCCTGCCGCACTTTGTACCATTTCGGCTCAAGGTTGACCTCCGAGATGCAACTGAGCTGTCCCTGCTGTCGCTTTGCTGTCGCCTTGATGCCGCCTCGCGAATGAAGAGCTATGCAGCCTGATCGCGCCTGCCGCACTCCGTATCATGTCGGCTCAAGGTTGACCTCTGAGATGCAACTGAACTGTCCCTGCTGTCGCTTTGCTGTCGCCTTGCTGTCGCCTTGCTGTCGCCTTGCTACGCAGCCTGATCACGCCTGCCGCTCTCCGTAGCATTTCCTCGGAGGTGCAACTGAACTGACCCTGCTGTCGCTTTGCTGTCGCTTTGCTGTTGCCTTGCTGTCGCCTTGCGATTGAAAAACTACGCATCGCCGCTTCGAGAGTTCCTTGCATTTTCTCTGAGTTGGGCACGATGGCAACGCGTGCTCGCCTACGTCGCACCCCTCTCGGCAACGGCCCCGACGGGGTTGAAGGGCAGGACGCGTTGAAACCTCCGCCTCCCCTAGAAGCGTAGTAAGATAGCCCTCTTGCGTAGTCTCGGCGGGGTCCTGGGCGAGCAGCCCCCCTTTAAAATAATGCTAATCCAGCCAAACGTGAATCCCACCCATGTCAAAAACAAGTTCGGACAAACCCCACGGTGGGGCCCAACCCTGCCACTGAATGGCATGTTCGGGTCGTCTTGAGGTCATCTTGACATCATCTCCAGGTGATCTGAAGAACGTGGCGTTGTACACTGGGGGTGCCCCGGCCACCTCGGGGTCGCTCTGGGGCCGCCGCGCCTGGTCTCCAGGGCGTCGCTCACATCTTGGGCTATCTTGGCTCCGCCCCCAGGCAATTTCGACGCTGCGCCTGGATCATGCGGGGGCCGCGGGGTCTTCTTGGGGCCGCCCCGAGGTTGCCCTCGTGCCCGTCTGAGGCCGTCGTGGAACAATCTTGGGGCCATGGGGCCGCCCACTCATCCTGTCTGGGTCGTCTGGAGGTCTTCCGCGTTTCGAAGAGAACTCTCGTTGCGCCTAAGTCTGTCTGCGAGTGCAGGCAATGAACTAGTGAGCGTCGCAATAAACTGCGAAGAATACAACGTGTCTGTGAACCCCGCGGTGTTGTTGGTAACACCTACGTACAATTTGCTTGTGAGCGGCGCCACGCGAAAGTGAATGTGAAGGGGGCGGTCGCGGGCCCTCCGTGATGCGCGTTGCGGGCCCAAAAACATTCGCCGCCCAAAGTGGCCAACGGCGTGCCGAACCCCCTCGCTGTTGCCGCCAGAAAAAAACCCAAGCCCCTGTGCCTTTTTTAATTTGGGGGGGGGCTGTCCGCCGAAGTCGCGGGTTTTGTCTCGCCTGCCCGCGTCGTCTCCGGGGCTGCCAGGAACGCGAGAAATGGCGCGCCCGCGCGCCCGAAGTCGGGATCCCTCACCAAAAACAATGGATCCGCGTTCGCGCGCTCGAGTCGACGCACGCGCGCCTCCAGGAGCGCCGCAAAGGCCCGGGAGACGCCCCAAGAAGCATCCACGATGCCTCCATTGCGCCCCGAAGCGGTTGCGAAGACGCCCCAAGGTGCTCGATCCCCCCCTGGGGCCGCGCGTCGAAAGCCGCAGAAATTCCGAACTTTGTTCTTTTTTGATGAAGTTGGCAATCTCGCCCTTGCGGGTTCCAATGGGCCCCCCAGGCCCCGCGGCGACTCCGAGGGGGCCCCGGGAAGCCAAAACAGTCCGCCGAGATTCCGCACGAGGGCCCCAGGAAGACCCCAGGAAAGGGCACCAAATGTCCCGCAATGCTCGACATGGTGTTCCAAGGCAACATCCAAAACGCCCTCGAAAGGCGCCGGGCGGCACGCGGCAAGCTCCCGAGCGAAATTCTAGAAACCCCCGAGAGAAGAAGAAGAAAGAAGAAGCGGTCTGCTGACCGGCCGCGGCGGGCCGGGCCCCTGACGGCACGCGGAAGCGCGCCTGGGCAGACCGAGTGAGACTGGCAATCAGACAGACAAGCCACGCACCAGGCGGCGCGTGGGCGTGAACACATAACGAAAGACTTGCTGCAATCCTGGCTTTGCCATGTTGCTTGTTTGTGGCAATACGAATGAGATGCTTATATTATCAGAGACCGGCGACCGGAGTCTCAAAGGTCGTCCGCCCAGCGCTGGCACGGTCTCCCTGGGCGCCTGCATGCCCGCGTCCTGAACCATGGGGCCCAGTGCAGCAGCCGCGTGTTCCATTTTCCCAGCGTGCAGGAATCTGCGTTGAAGGCGAATCTCAATTTCCTGCTCGTCTGTGTCGCAACCCAATCGCCTAATCCTCGCTGGCGGGCTTTCTGCTCGCACAAGCGGGTGGATCTTCTGATGTAGTCAACCCACCCCTCCTCGCTCCAGCGCGGGATCTGGAAGATTTTCCTGAGCATTTTGCGCCATGTTCCTCGCAGAATACGACGATGCTCAGCGTTCATCGTCCAGCACGAGCTTCCATATAAGGCGGTCGAAGTCACGACTGAATCAAATAGCTTCAGTCTCGCAGATAATGGGCACCTCCTTGAGCAAAGAGCATGGCGGAACTTGGCAAACGCTCTCCATGCAGTGGACATGCGATTCGAAATTTCTGCTCCATGCTAATCCTCCAGATTGATGGCTCGGCCCAGATACTTCTCAGACCCGCCCGGCGGAATGATCTCTACCGGGGATCCACCAACAAGCACAGAGCTGCCCGCGTAGCCCGGGCGGTTCGTCAGGATCTTCGTCTTGCCGAGGTGGACGCGGAGCCCATATCTGGCTGCGCTCGTCTGGAGGTGGAACAACATTTTCGCAACGTCCTGTTTGCTTTGCGCAAACAGCAGCACGTCGTCTGCGAATCTGAGGTTTGTCAACGGCATCTCCTGGTCGTCTATGACGAAACCAAAAAATTGTCCGATGCGTCTCCGGTTGAGCCCGTGCCACTTAGTCTTGAGCGCTCTGAAGCAGGACTCCATAACTGCAATAAATAGAAGTGCGCTGATCGGGTCCCCCTGCCTTACTCCCCTGGTCAAGCAAAAAGAGCGAGACTCCGCCCCAGCAGCAACAGTGGCAGTCTGGTCGGCGTACAGTTTCCGAAGCAGTCCAATGTAGGATTCCTCGTTGCCAAACTCGCGCAGGACATCCCACAACGCCACGTGCTCCACAGTGTCAAAGGCCTTCTCGAAATCGACAAGCCCCAACCACAAATCCTGATTCCACTCGCCGCACTTCTCAACAACCAGCGTTAAAAGGGAGAAGATGATCTTCCGTGGAGAATCCTGGGCGGTAGGCCGCTTGATCCTGAGCTTGGCGCGCAATAGTAACATCCTGGAGGCGACTGCAGATTATGCGAGCGAAGAGTTTGTACAATATTGGAAGAATCGCAATAGGTCTGTAATTATTCGGGGGCATTGGGTCTCCTTTCTTAAACAGAACGACCAGTTTCGTGCGTCTCCACGATTCCGGTGGTTCCTTGTCTGGCGGCAGCACTGAGTTGAATAATGAGGGAAGGCTTTCCCGCAGACTCTGGCTGCTGTTCTTCAACATCTCCGCAACGATGCCGGGCGAGTCCCTGCACTTGCGGTTTTTCATGGACCGGATGGCAGCCGTCAGCTCAGGCATCGTGAAATCTGGTGCAGTCTCGCCTGGTGTCTCGCCAAGATGCAGCTGATCCGCCGCCCCTGTGTAGAGCGCCTCGTAGAAAGACGCGAAAATTTTAGCCACGTCCTCTTTCGACTCCTTGACGTTTCCATACGAATCGACCACCTTGGCGATGTTCTCTTTTTTCTTGGCTGCCCCTTGAAATCACCAAGGATGTTCTCATCTGGGCCGCTTTCTGATTTGCTCTTTTTCTCTGGATCAGACTCCTGGTCTTGTGGCTCAGCACCTTTCGCTTGGCCGCTTTTTGCCCGGTTGTTAAATCTGCAGATTGCCGAAGTTGACGTCGCTCTGATATGAGGCGGCGGATGTCCGCGTCTTCTGGGGCCGTTGTCGGTTTCTTCTTCGATCGCGGGCGCGCAGAGGCAGCCGCTTCCAGCATGGCGCTTTCGATCCGGACTGCAGCCTCAGAAGGGCCACCTGCGTTGGCAAGCTGCTCCTGCAACAACTGATCCAAAGACGAATGATAGCTGGCCAAATCTACATCCGGCCCCCAAGCGGACTTCGAAACGGGAGTCTTTCTCTCGATATCTGAGCCGAGAAGCACGCGCATCCTGAGCGGTCGGTGGTCTGACCCGGTGTCGATGCTCGGCGTAACTCTGCACTTCCTCACTCGCGGTTTCCAGCTGGCCGGAACGATCATGAAGTCGAGTTGTTTCCGTGACGATCCATTGGCGTACGTCCAAAGCTGCTCTGGATCAGCTGAGTCGAACGTGTTGGCAAGGAAGGAATCGTGGAGGGAACACCAGTGAAGCAGCCACTCCCCTCGCTGGTTCCGTGCATTGATCGGGTTTGGTCCCAGGATATTGGCTTCATCATCGTCAATCAGCGATCGCGGCCCGACTTCTGTATTCAAGCCCCCTGCAACAGTAAAATGACCGGGAAAGAGCAGCAGCGAGTCCAAACTTTCGTACACTGCTTCCACGTCAGTGTCTGTATATTTGGAATGCGGCATGTACACGCTGACCAGATTCAACTTCGAAGCGTCCCCGGCGAGCGTAAGCATCGCCACTCTCTCAGACACTGCCTTGACGGATGTATATCCCCAACTGCGGTGCAAAAAGAAACCTACGCCATTGGATCCTTTGGCGCCTCCACTTCCAAACCACGTATGCCCCCCTGCTGTGGTGAACGCTTCATCTTTGGGTTCCCTCCAAGTTTCTGTGAACAAGAACACGTCCCAGCGTGTGTTCCCGACCTCATGTAATATGGCTTCGAACCTCGTGCCAAAATCCATGAATGAATGAATGTTGTAAGATATAATAACAAATTCCACCCCGTGCGTATCTGCACAAATGCTGGATTCTTTTGCGTCGGCGCTCGCTTGTGGAAGCCTTGCCGGCGCGCCAGCTTTTGCACCCTGGAAGTGTCAATCGCTGTCCGTGGCTGGATCGGGGTCCTGCTTAGCCCACCAATCCTTCATCGACTCATCGATCAAGTTCTTCGCGGCTTTTGCCAGAGTCCAGACGTGCCAATTGCCATCCTCATCGAACCAAGCAACTTTCTTACCTTTTGCTGTAACGAGCTTCTTCCTCCATAAAATCTCCACTTCACCATCCTTCGCCTTTCCCTCGTTCAATATATGATGCTTGGTGTATCCCAGTTTCTTATCAACTGCTCTCTCGTCCTTTGTCAAATTGTTCCTGAAGAAGAGGCCCCCTATGATGCTGGGGTCTGCGTTCAGGCGGACAGCCTTGTAAAACTTGATCTTCTCGTGGGCGGATTGGACAGTTAGGACTCCCATCTTTGCCGGGTTGGTGAACGCACCCACTGTGGCCGCGCAGCCGCCCGGGAGCAGCCTCGAGAGAATCTCCAACTCGGTTTCGATAGCGCTGGACTCCTTCCGGTCGGAGAAGCCGAAGGCCAGCACCTGCCTGAGACGCTCCTCGTTCTCTCCTCCTCCTTCTGCTGCTCCTCCTCCTCCTCCTCCTTTTGCGCCTCCCTTTCCGCCCTGTGGTGCAGCTCGGGTCCATCCCCCATGTGGCTCCTGCTTGGTATGCTTCATCTTCTCCTCCACCACCTCCTCAATTATCTTTTGCATTATGTTCTTCATGGTGTCCTTCATCCCCTCCTCCTTCATCGTGCTCTCCATTGCTTCCTCCATCGTGCTCTTCGCGTTTCCTTGGGTGACCATGTCCTCCAGGTCTAGCTTTACGTTGCCCACCTCCAGCTCCGCGTCTTTCAACCTCTCGTCCATGTCATCGGTCTAATCCTTTATTTCCTCAATCTTGACATGCATATCGTGCATGTTCTTGATGATTTTGTCGAGTTTCTTGTTCTGTCCCTTCGCGAAGGCCACGAACCAATCCGGAGGCTTCTCCAAAGCTTCACCTGCGTTCGCACCATCGTCGCTCGATGCATCCATGAGTTCCTTCCCCAAGTCCCTGCGCACTCCCTTGCGTGCTGGTGTCGCGCCCGTTGCCGCTCCCGCTCGCTTGTGCATGTCTTCGCAAGCGCTGCGCACGCGCTGGGCACGCAGAATCGCAAAGTTATATAGCCGGGAGGGCCCCCAATATTCCTCCAGGATGCCCCGGGCAACTTTCGAACCTGCTCCCATGGCGAAGCTCGGGCGTGGGCGAATGGGGTTTCGATCTCAAAGTGCCCGGCCGGTGGACGGGGCGCTCCGTCGAGCATCGCCTTCCATCTGTCACTGAGTCGGGCCCGTCCCCCCGCAGGCGCATTTCGGGCAGCAAATCAAAAATAATGAGCAGCATGCGCCACAATTGTCAAACATGATGGGAAAAAACATCCCCCAGATTATTTCTCAAACTTATTTCTGGACAGTCCCCTGTAGAGGGACAGGCCCGACTTCAATCGAGCCAGCAACGATGCTGCGATATGGGCCAGCGGAGTGCGAAAGAAGCAGTCCGCCGCCCCACAGAATAACGGCTCGTGATATCCCCGCCGCACGGTTCTGGAAGATGCCCTTCGGTCATTTCCTCGGCTCCGCACTCCTCGTGCAATGGGGGCTCGGCCAGAAGGAACCCCGCAAGAAACCCAACCCTGATATACGCGATCTGTTGAATGAAAACCCAAATTTGTCGATCGAAATCCAGAAACCCAGGGCGCCGAGATCTCGTTGGGGGCACGTCGAAATCCAAGAAACCCAGGGCGCCCTGGCAAAATCCAACTGGTTTCTTAGCACACGCCCCCACAGTATGCACTCCTTTCTCAGAGAGCCCTAGCAGCCTTTTCTGGGGTCCTCGCAGCCTGCTCGCTCTGCCACCCCCACCGGCCGCCGTTCTCGGGGCCGCTCGGGCTTCTCTGGGGCCGTTCTGGCGGTCGCTGGGGCCCCCCTGAGCCATCTGCCCCTCGGGGGCACTCGAGACCAGGGCGACCTCGCCTCCCTGGGCGCTCTCCACTGCGTGACTGTTTCACTTTGGCGCGCCCTCGGAGGGGGGGCGGGCCCCGGCGGGGCGCGCTACTGCGCCGCTGACTCGGCCGAGACCTCGCCTTCCCATTGGCGGGGGAAGTGAAAAGGATAAGGCCTTCTCAGATGGCGGCGGGACATCTCTAAAGCCCTCGCGCCTGCAGAAGTTCCTGTTCAAACTTCGGGGAAGGGTCAGAAACGACCTCTCAGGGGGCGGGGGGGCTTCCGAGACTTCTGAGAAGGCCCGCCCCTTCTCACTTCCCCCTCGCTCGCCGCCGATCCTCGGCGTGCCGCCTGCGCAACTCTCACTCGCCGCTTGCTCTCGAACTCCAAGAACGTCTGGCGGAATGCGGCCCTCCGCAGGCACAAGCGGGGCGGCGCCTCCTGGGATGCTGCCGACTGCTCAACTGCCGCCTCTCTCGGGGGCCCTTGGGAGGCCCTGGAGAGCGCAGTGCTGCGCGTGCTCCAAGGTCGCCTCGCCTCCCAGGGCGCTGCCAACTGCGCAGCTGTCGCACTCTCGCGGGCGCCCCTGGCCTGGGGGGTCCAGCGGAGCGCGGTGCCGCGCGGGCTCAAATATTACCCCTTGCTCGAACGCCGCCGCCTGCTCAACTTCTTGCCGAGCAGGGCCCCTTCCAAGGGGCCGCGACGATTTCAAAATGGGAAAATGTCCAACATGTTGCTTTCCTCAAGATGGACCGCGGGGAATCATCACGGAACGCCCGCGCGCCATCGAATCGCCGCGCGCCGCCTGCCCCCGCCATTGAATCGCGCCGGTCGAGCCGCGGAGGCGCGATCAACGCGGCCCCTGAGCCGGGCCGCCGCGGGACCGCCATGGAACTCATCGCCGCGATGATGCTTCATCCCGCAATCGTCGGGCATCGCGTCCGCGCGAATTTGGGCGCGAGCCGCAGACGAACCGCAGGCGGAATCGGCGCGCGCGCAGCCGTCGAAAGGCCAGGTGCTGCCCCGGCCGCGCGGCCGATAGCTTGCGCGGGAGAAACACCTCCCAAGCTAATTTATGATTGAACGCGCCGGCGCGGGACCGACGGACCACAAGAAAGGGCCACTTTGGAGACCCCGCATGAAGAAGGAACGCTCGAGCGCGAGTGCCACGTGGGGAGTTGGCGGAACGCCGGAGGCGGTTGGGCCTCATGCCCGCGCAATTTGGGCAAATCCGCTTCTGGGGAGTAGCGCTCGTGGGGCCCACCGCGGGCGCGGGGACCGCTGGCGCAGACTCTGCCGCAACCGCGGCGAGGCCCCGGCGCTCTCTCCTGGGGGCCACGACGCGCGGCTGCGCTGGTGGCTGAGAAGAGGGGCCTGACGGCAAACGTCGGCTTCGAAGCCTGAACGGCCGGCCGCGGGCGCGGCGGCGCAATCGCGAACTCGGCGCGCGAGGCAGCGCAGCCCGTCGCGAGGGCATCCTCTTCAACCGAGCGGGGGTCCCCAGGGGGTCCTTGGCCCCCTCCCCGACCCCCTCCGCCGCTTTTCCGCGGCGCCCTGCTCCCTCTCCCCGTTTGACCACGATTTGGTATATTTTTCTGGCAGCGTTTTGCACACTTTTTTTGCCTCCCATCCGCGGAAGTGCACTTGTTTGACCACGATTTTTCTTACATGATTAAATCAATCAGAACAAAAAACGTGTTCAAAATCGTGGGTGGTTTCGTGGGGCCTTGCAAGGGGCGCGGAACCATGGCTGAAAATCGCGGGTGAAATCGTGTCCGAAATTGTAAGCAAAATCGTGTCCGAAATCGTGGGCGAAATCGTGTTGCCGAAATCGTGGGCGAAATCGCGGGCGCAGAATTGCGGGCCTGACCGGTGCGCCTCCGTGCCAAGCAAGCGCGTCCGCGCAACATCAGCGACGGCCAATAGAAAACGACGGAGGAGGAAGCGGCAGCAGCGGCAGGAAGGCCAGCAAAAGCAGCGGGAAAAGGAAATAATGGGAAGCAGCAGCAGGAGAGGAGGAGTCGTCGAAATTGGCCCGCCCGTTAGTCGCGCGCCCTACACCGCGCTGGACATGCCCCTCGGGGGAGACTCGCCAGCCCCACGGGCCAGAGGCGCGCGAAGATCTCCGGCGACTGCCTCGCAGCATTTCTACTTCGCGCGCGCGGGGCGGCCCAGAGGGGCCCCCGGACGCAAAGTGCCCCGGCCAAGTCGGGCCAGAGATGGTTCTTCTCCTGGGCGCGGCTTTCAGGCGCCCCGAAGCGATGCAAGAGGGCTCCGAGTCGTCGAACGATCGGCCCGCGACACCCACGATGGCTTAGACGGCCCACGACGCGTGCAAGACCCCCGAAGAGGCCGCCGCGAGTTGAAACGATACCCGAAAACGCGATTCTGAATTTGGAAGAAAAATGGTAGCAGCGAGACAAGGCGGAAACAGACCAGACCAGGGGCGACGCCGCTCGAATGACGCGTCGAAGCCAGATTGCGCACAAGCTGCACGCCGAATGCCCAATATCGGAGCGGGTCGGCGACGCAAGAGATTCTGAACAAAGAGAAACCGAAAAACTGGGAAATCTAACATATTTGCTCCGGAAAAACACAAAATCGTTGCACCAATCCGCTTGGGGGGAGCAGCTTCATGAAACTTCTGGTGCTTTCGTGAGCTCTTGGGAAGCTTATCCGAAGGTGGTGCCACTCATCGTCAAACGGGATCTCGCCTCCCGGGGTGCTGCCAATGGCGCAGCTGTCGCCACCGTCGAAATAACGCCAGCCCTCTGGGGCGTAAGTGGTTGAGCGAGTTCGCCTTTCCAGCCGCCTTCTCCCCCCTGGGAACGGGGTGTATCGCTGCTCCTTGTCAATGCGCACCCCCTCCCCGCCCGAGAGGTGACGAGCCCGGGCCAGCGCCCGCCCTCCCCCCGCGCCCTCGCTTGCCGAAAAAAGGTGCACATTGACAGGGACGGCGAGGGCGGGCGCCTATTGCCCGCGGCTCACAGTGCCAACACCCCCCACCATCCCCTGCAATAAACCATCCCAGATGCACTTTGCACCACAGCCTTGGTCCTGCGCGGGCGCCCTGGGATCCCTCTGCAGTTCGTTTTTGACAGAGAGCGCGGGGACGGACGCACACTGCCTGCTGTCTGCGATGCCACTCGCACCATGCCCTGCAAGCCTAAGTAATACAATATGTGCACTTTGCACCAACATCTGGATGATGCGCGGGCGCCCCACGGTCACTTTGCAATCGATTCGGGGCGGTAGATTGCCTGCTGTGTGCAGGCCCTCTATACCTTTCAACCAGATGTGCAAACAAATCTCTTTGCCAGGGACGTGGGTGGGGGGGGGGGCTGGCATGCTGCACGCTGTGTGCAGGCACGCCATCCCAATCAGAAACGAAAATAACATGAATGAGGGTGCACACACTTTTGAGAATCGCAGCCCGGTCCAAGCCGCAAGGCGCCCGGAAACCGGAAATCCTGCGGGCGCGCGCGCCGGCTAAGAATAGGTGCGCACGAATGCACAGTTCACAATACTCGCAAACCCGCCGCCACTTTGCATTTGATATATTAACATGTCGACAGATTGCCCAATGTGGCGCACCTGGTCTGCGTTGCGCACCTGGCTTCGCGCTTCTGGCTGGCGTCTGCACTGGTTCTCGATGGTTATCGTTGGCGTCTTCTGCCGATAATCTGTAAGGCTGTTGTGCTTTGTAATGAGAGGGCGGGTGGGAGTGAGCGAGACATCTTGTGGCGTTCTCGCTGGGAATATGTTCCCTCAACCTACCCAATCCCTTGGGTCTGGACGGGGCGTTCCGCGAGTGACAAGCGCGTCCAAGATGGGCCAGGATGGTCTCCAAGCTGGCACAATAATTACATCCCAGGATGGATCAA